AGAAACAATCTACGATCAGACTGAATGCACATCACTGGATTCACTGACATCTGCATTTACAGTCTGGGCGACCTTGCGACGGTTGAGCTTTGGATTCGATGCAAGGATACTTCCTTCGTCGTCGCCTAACGGGGCCAGGCGTCGGCGTTCAAAAATAATCCTTAGGCCCTCTTCTAGGACAAAAAGCCTGAAATAGAGGGCCAGGATGGCAACCGACTGACGTCCTCATCCAGCGCAAAGTTTGCGGCAGCCTAAAAATCAGTGTTAGTCACAGCGACACAGACGACGCAGAGTAGTGAAATTCACCAGCGACCATCCGTTCAGCCACAAGCGCATGTGTGTAAAAGTGCTCCATTGGCGTCCTGGGACGCAGTGTAACGTATCGAAAAACGAGGTTCCTGTATTGATGTGTGTTCGAAGCGGATTTAGAACGAATGGCTACCCATATGTGCGTCCTTTATCTAATACTGGCCCTTATGATGGGTTTGAGTGTGAATTCGAAGCGTCGGATTATTTTTTCAACAAGCAGGTCTTCCTCTCAATTGATTTCTGGAACTCGTCTATTAGCTTGTATCAGTGTGCTATACCGCGCAGGATTCGATCCTCAGACTTCTGCTCGTACCAGTTTTACTTTGCAATCCTAACAGAACGGTCACTCTCAAACCAGGCGTCGGCAGGATCTTCAAAACTGTCTTAAAGGGGTCACATCAGCTCGATCACTGCTAGCAACGACGTTCATCATGTGTCCCAAGGGGGGGGGGGGCGCAGCACCGGTGACTTGCGCGTAAACTAATTTATAGTGGGACATCTATCGCACTGCTCCATTCCTCACTCACTTAAGCCTAGTGGCATCATAATGCCGGTTGATCGGAGTTGGGCCCAGTCGCAGGGGCTGACAAAGTCAACCCGTCCATCTACGTATGCCACACGCGACAAGGTTACCGCACAACGTACACGGTTTCTAAATAGGGAGGGGGAGTATCATAAAGACCAACTTGCGAAGGGGTCATTGAGCCTGCCTGCCAGACCTCGAGCAAGTCGTCCTGCCTACATGCAATACTGACGGCGAGGACGGAGGTGCCGGGTCAGCTGGCCAGCCTCCCAGGTCACAGCTTTTAGCTCATCGTGATAGATTCAAAGCGCGTCAGCTGTACTATAGGGAGGTGTGTGTTGAAGTTTCGTGACGATGGATGCCCCGGTGTCAGTCTTAGTCTTCCTTCTCCCATGCACCAGTCCACTGTCCGAGCCAGTCGGTCATTTGGCGCCTTCTCGCCACTAGCATGAAGATTAAACTAATGGCCAAAATTCAACTCGCTCTGACCAAGTTTCATTACATCCGTTATCATGCCTGTGTACTTTTCAGATGAAAATGCTCCATTACTTCTGCCGCATCGTAATCCCTACACAACGTTTAAATTATGCCACTCACTCGCGAAATTCAGCGCTAGGACAACCAACTGGATCTTTACTTAAAATACGTGGGACTTACTTAGGGAACAGCTTTAAGTAATAAATGGAAAATTTCACTCGTGCCAAAACACGCTTTGATAAACAGACGCGCTTGAAGGGTCACTTACCAAGCCTTTCTAATGCGAAGGGTGTTCCCGATCTTTTAATAACTTCAGTGTACTAACTGAAATACTACAAGAAGAGCCAAATCAGTAATGATTCAGGCAATGTAATTAACAAGAACAGTATGTTTCCAACGAGTCCGGCCAAAAGAATGTTCAGAAAAGCTCCAGTTTTCATAGTCCAAGCTGAAAAGAGTATAAAAAACCAAGCATTTGTAATAGGGAAAGTACACTAATCCAGAAGTACATGTGGTTTACACACACAGTTTTTCGGCATTTGTTGTTCTTAAAAAGAACCGACTGGAAATATTCAACAGCACCACTAACTCAACCATCCAGGCAATTAAATTCACTCTCGAGAAATAAGTTGGCAATAAACTCCTATTTTTGGACGTTCTCGTACACCGAAACACTAATGAAACATTACGCACGTCCGTTTATCGCAAGGAAGCATATACGGAAGTAATTCTACCCCATTGGAGCAACAGCCCAATCTCTCACAAGCGGAGTACTGTTAACAGTCTGATCTGTCGAGCAAAGCACATTGCTCTGATGAAGAAAGCTACCGGGTCGAGCCAAATTACCTGTTTGGATTATTTTCACAAATGGTGGACTCAGAGATTTTGCACGTCGCACGGACAGTAAGAGTCGAAAAATGGTACTATATAGTTTCAGTCAAGCGTCCAAAGCAAATACTTGGCGAATCCGGGATGTGTCGGAACTCGTTGAAAGGCACTTGAGGAAACACCAAATAAAAGTTGTACACAAACCGACGAATATCTCACGCACCCGGTTTTTACGTCCTAAGGATGGGGTTGGCTATCTTGATAAGAAAGAAGTCGTCTAAAAGATCCCATGCGATGCCTGTGATGCTATATATTGTGGCCACGAACATCAGCTGGCAGTTAAGAGGCGAAACTACCTGCCTCAAATAGCCATGCACACCCCTTAATACCTGGCACACCTTCGCCTTGGACAAAACTCGCATAGCTGAAGTTTGCCCCTTCAAGAAAGACCGAGAGTTTATTGAGGCCATGCATTCCGATGAGTCATGCATCAACCGGCACACTGAGTTAGATGCCCTGCACAAAAACTTCGGGTACAAATGTAAGAGACGAAGACCAATCAATAAACAATGACGCACACGCTTGTTGACCCAAACACCCAACGAGCATCGATTTTTAAGGACGTTTGAAATGTTAACTGCTTTCTGTACATTTATTGAAGTCTGACGACGACCTGGGGAACAAAAGTCGAAAAGTTACCTAATAAGGTCTTCTACTTTTCGCAAAGAAGGCGTTCGACCTCGAATACAAGTATATAGCATTTATCATTTCCCGAAGAAGGGGAGCTGAGTTCATGGAGTAAATTGTGTTCGCACTGAGGTTTAGGAAACTTCCTCCTTTCCATCATCAGAACAGTGCGGTTATAGCTTCTGTTGGTCTTGAAGTGTTCAGCCTTGCCGTTTGTCTCGTAGTAGAACCGTGCTCGACGCGGCGACGACTGCGACCACCAAAGGCCCATTCCCACCGCCGATTAAAACGCTGTCGACTGTTGGTCAACCATTATCCTCATCATCGCTACCCATACCTCTAACGATGTGGACTTTGCCCAAACCTGTCCTCATTGTGATCGCACATCCAGCTCACCCAGTGGCCCGGTTGGTCACTTGCGAATTCATCACAAACAGACTGACAAACCAGTGCCTGGGGCGCTCACATACACCCGCCGCATTCGCCTCCACTGTCCACGCACATGCACTCATCGCATTCGCCTATTAGACCACATGCGCATTTATGAAAACCTGCGGTACACCACCGCCAGCCATACCACACCTTCCCACCTGCCCCACCAACACCAGCACCGCTCACCAACAGCACCTATCGCCTCACAAACCAAGCACTAAGCTGACACCTCTCACGCAAGTGAGAAATGTGTTTCTCGGCTACTTCTTCGTGTGGCGACTCTGCTACATGTGTGATCCGAGTCTGATT